ACACACAGACACTTGCACTCACACACAAACCAAAATGTAGCACGTTAATTAGATCAAAACTACCGGGCTGGATACTTGATATAGTCTATCAATTACTGGAATGCTACTACTACTACTACTACTACTACTACTACTACTACTACTACTACTACTACTACTACTACTACTACTACTACTACTACTACTACATTGGTATAATAGGCCTAATTTTATTTCTAGGCCTAAGACTAAGACTCTGATTTCATTCAACAGAAATCCTGTTTGCCTTCGCCTACCCGAACTGTTTTTGTAGGCCTATTGGATCTCTGGCAAGTATCAAATATCAACAAGTATCGACTACGACCCTCCGGTTTCTCCGTATCGAGCCGAGCCACAAACACACATAATTTACACACATGATGCTGTGGGAAGTGGGAAGTGAGGAGCGATGCACGGAACAACACACAGTGATCTCTAGAATTGACCGGAGGAGGTGTGTGTTTTTTTAGGTGTGCCGAATTCTTTGAAAACTAGATCTAGATTCTATACATCTCGAGATAAGCTGGTGGTGAGTAGAACTTATTGCGATGTTTTTTTTTATTTGATTGTCGTTTCCAGTGACCCAGTCTACTGGATGTGGTGTCTTTCTTGGGCTTCAGAGAGGCTTGGGCCGGGTCCGGGTAGCCTAGATTCTGATTCTTGATCTGTCATCGCTTTGTCTGTTGTGAGGTGAATGTGTGGGAACTGGGACACTTAACACCATTGTCTCTCACTTGAGCATCAACGGGTTCATGGGTCTTTTCTTCAACGGCTTTTGAGAATTTTTCAGAGCTGTTGACATGAAGCCGCCACGAACCTGCCTTCGTCTTCTACTTCTACTTCTAGAATTAGCTGCTCTACAGATTCAACACGAAAAATTCACAAAACACAAAACTAAAGCCAAAGGCAGACAATAAGATACTATTACTATTGAGACAGGCAGTCAGGTAGACACAGATACACGTCCTTTCTAAGTCAAGACTTGTAGAGAATCACATTCCCGTCAGCAAAGGCAGCTGATGCTCTGTCAAATCTGTTTGTTTATAAATTATAAATTGTGTTTTTTGTTAAAAAATATAGATCTCTAGATCTAGATCTAGATCTAAATCTAGATCTAGCAGTAGAATGAGAGTGAGTGATGAGATGGGAGGTAAAAAGAAACAGGAGAATCTCCAGAAGTATTTTTATTAGATAGATCTAGATCTAGATTCTCTAGATCTCTATGGCCTAGATCTAGCTTATAAATTGATTACGAAGTGCTATATTTCTCCGAATGCTCAGGGAAAATAAACTTTTGATCTCTATTTATTTCTCTGAACGGTTTCTGTTCTCGAGATTTTTGGGTTATTTGCGAGATTTAGGCGTCGTCTTTCATTCTGCCATTCTGCGAGGACTGGGAAGAAGCATTTTTTTGCATCGAATTCAATCTCTAGTGTCTCTAGAGCTAGAGATTTTATTCAGTACTTCAGTTGTGATTGGGGCAACGTTTTCGGATTATTATTTCATTTGAAAATGCCTTCAAAAGGTACACCCCCCGAGTCAGTGCCACTGACTGTAGTGTCTTTAGGCCATTCCCAAAGGGGGGACATTTCTCGTTCAAGCAGGATTGTAAATGGGCTGACTCATGTCACGCTCATAAACTGTGCCTGATCTACAACGGGGAAATTCTGCTTTTTCTTTCCTGATCCTTACTATTGTCATTTTCCTCTGCTTCTTTTGTATGTTTGTCACTCTCTTGTGACCTGCTATTTTGGGGTGCCTTGATAGTTGAAGCAGACTTTATGCTGTTGAAGCTAGAGAGGTGAGCAGTCTAAGTCTGATTCCCTGTAAAGACTTCTCTGTTGACACCCACCCCTTGGCGCTCATATGAAGTTGCGAGCGCCGTAAAACCCTCTACTATAAAAAAAATATATTCAAAAGGTACTGCAAGATTTTGCATTTAGTCACCCTCAAAGCAAACTAAAACCCTTTTCATGTTAACAAAAACAAAAAAAATCCATGGCCCGTTCACACCTTACACACACGCACACACACACACACACACACTCACAATACCCACACACTCACTCACACGCACTCACACACACACATACATACACAGTCACTCACACACTCACACACACA